TTAAAAGCGAATCAAATAAAATAAGCAGCTAAGCTCAACACAAGTTTGAAAGGCTAATTTGATAAACTAATTGATAAACTAACTAATTATTTGATAATTTGATAAACGAGAATCTCGAGTACGAAGCCAGAGGTTGATAGAGAAAAAAAAGAGCGAAAAAAAGGAATCTTGATCAATAAATAAAAGTTATCCAGAAAGTAATTATAATTAAAAATAAAGGCAGATCTAATGATTGCAAGAGTTAAGTCGGGAAATCAAGCCACGATAAGCGAGCTCAACTTGTTTTTGAGTGAATTCTGGCTCCCATTGTGTGGATATGATGACATTTGCTCGTGGATATGGCCCCGATACTCCACCAATTTGAGACGGTGTCCACCAGTCGACCGGGTCATCCTCCTGCTTTGCCTTATCATTCAAATTCAAAGGTGTAACGCTAGAAGCCGTTGCCTTGGCAACAGAATCAGCTTGGCGAGAAAGGAGGCTGTCAGCCAACGCCAAAGTTACATTGGTCCTCTCCCCTAGACGACGTTGGCACTCGTCTCTGGGCAAAACCGTCAACCAAATCTTAAGGGTTTGCGATTAGAAGAAAATAGACAAACATAAGGCATGTGCAAATAGAATACGTTTTTACAAATACACGTTTCCACAATGAGGTAAATAGGAAAAGGACGGGGTAAATGATAATAAACAATAACACAAAAATAAAAACAAACATGGAGATTCATGGTCTTAATATCTGTATGTGCAAATAGGAATATGCTATCAAGCAAAGGATTCAAATGAGATGGGAAAACTAATTTATCTACATGAAATCTGTGTAACATAAATGCTCCTAGCATATATAAAAGTATGAATTATCACTTTGCGATGATGCTATTAATCAATTGCATTTAGGACGAATGATTAGGGAGTGAGTGTTAGAATAACATTATGAAGAGCGTGAAATGTTGAAAATAAAATAACACATAAGAATTAAGGGAAAAGTAAAATAAGAATGGCAAACTAGGAGATGTAAAAGGCCTTTAAAGCATAGTGAGGAATATGTTATAATTTAAACAAAATGTCCACATAACTTAAAACGTATCGGCATACTTACCTCGTTGCAAAATTTATCCCATTTAGCATCGAAAAGGACTGCAGCATCAAGAACAAAAATTAATTTTGGCATTGAGGCCTCTATTACGCCGTCCCCGGGATCGGCTTTACCTTTTTCATTGAGATAAAGCCTATTTATTTCAGATTTTATCATTAGAGTCATGTGAGGCCAGAGGATCGAATTTAAACATTCTAGTTTGCGGGAATCTGAGAGGACTATGGCGCCTAGCTTATGACGGTCAATCGGAGGAAGGTCAGAATCTGATTGCCCTGTGGTAAGGATGGCATCAGCACCAAACTTTTCTATCAAAGCAAAGTAGCACTGACTTCCAGGACTAAAAATGGATTATAAACATGAATGTTAAATGAAAAAAAACAAGACTAGAACGATGCGATGTATTCATATATCCTACCATCTGAAAAAAATATACATATATTGAAGTATTATTTCATTTGATGGAACTCCGAGGTAGAGTGAATTTTCAAGTTAAAAAAATAATTTACTAGTCACCAAATTTTAAATACGAAGAGTAACTGGCTTTCGATGAATCTCCCGGGATAACATTGCTGAGAAGAGCTTTATTTCGTATGAAGGTGAGTGAGATCAACCTATGAATCTCTTCTTCATGCACTCACATACGCAATGAATGTCTCCCCAATAATGTTACCAAATTGTAGGTCAACTATATGGACATTGTAGGGATGATCAAATTTAGAGCAAAGCTATGCCAAGCATTCTAGTCAGGTTACATCTATGGTTATAGGAATTGGGCAAATATTCATAAATAGATGTGAATAAACTTAGTATCTATATCTACTCTATTTGGTAAATTAAATAATTCACCCAAAATATCTTTTTCGTGTTGCCAAACAACAAAGTAATTGTCCATATGACGAATTAATAACTTGAGAACTAGGAGTGCTCGTTGAAATACACGAACTTTCAATTGAGCAATGCAGTTACAGTTAAAATAGGGGCTATACAAGATTCCATGGCCAAGCCTGGTGTTTGCTTATACAACTTACCATTGAAGGTAAGCTATGTACAATTCATAGCCAAATTGATTTTTACCTGTCATGTTTTCAGGAGATTAATCTATTGTTGACTCTAAGGCCATCACTGCCCCGTTTTTCGGAATATTAGTGTTCACAAATACTACATCAAAACTTACCAGTAAATATTCTTTTTCTATATTCTGATTATCTCTAACCTTATTAGGTCGTAGGAATTTCCTATCAAAAGCATCCAAGTTACAGAGATTTGCTTTAATTGAGTACAAATAAATTGTGCATAATGCAAAGTGGTATAGCTTCCTTACTTCTAGCATCTCGCTGGAGAAGTGAGTTCCTTTTCCGCTGTCAACACATTTTGGCAGGAAACCCTTAAATATAATCTTAAGGCCTTCTGTCGGGTCCCTCATTATAGTCTTATATGTTGCTGCATCATCTAATGCACAAACGACAGCTTAGCACAGTTTCATCGGAGTCGCAGGACGGTGAGCCGAGGACTTCCTCGCACAATACAACAGTAAAGCTTTCTGGTCAGACCATTTCATCATATCCTCATAAATGGGAAGTCATGGCACCATAAAGGATATCGTCAAAGTTAAAGGTAAATAGGTATCTTATTTATAGAATAAAGTTCCATATGAACTGCGAACTATAATATGCTTGATTTACCCTTGAAGTCACACCTGCCCCGAATGACTTAGCCCGTGTCGTGAAAATAGGCGATTTATGAGAGACATTAAGATTATCGTAGCTCTGCTTAGGTAACAATAACA